CTTCTGTCTCCCACTGGACTCTCAACTGTGAACAGTCACAATGCCTGTTAGTTAGATGAGTGTGTGAATGAATAAACCTTTTTTTGAGACGAAGTCTTGTCCTGTCACCCAGGCTAGAGTGCAGTGCTGCGACCTCAGCTCACTGCAACTTCTGCCTCCCAGGTTCAAGTGATTCTCCTGCCTCAGTCTGTTGAGTAACCGAGATTATAGGTGTGTACCACCACACTGGCTAATTTTTGCTTTTTTTTTTTCTTTCTTTTTCCACATTGAATTTTTGCAGATAATTTTTGTATTTTTAGTAGCGATGGGGTTTTACCATGTTAGCCAGGATGGTCTCGATCTCTTGACCTCATGATCCTCCCACCTCAGCCCCCCAAAGTGCTGAGATTACAGGTGTGAGCCACTGTGCCTGGCCGATTAAACGGTTTTTAACTGCAAGAAAAATAATTATGTTATTAGTTACTTGGATGCTAAAACATGGAAAGTGCTATGAAAGAAAAAAGCCTCATAGGAGAGGCTGTGGGTGGGGAAGAGCATGAGACAAGAAGTCAGAGGAGGGGCTGGGTACAGTGGCTCAGGTCTGTAATCCCAGCACTTTGGGAAGCCAAGGTGGGAGGATCGCTTGAGCCCAAGAGTTTGAGACCAGCATGGGTGACATAGCAAGACCTTCTCTCTACCAAAAATCAAGAGAATTAGGCGGGCGTGGTGGCATATGCCTGTGGTCCCAGCTACTCAGAAGGCTTAGCTGGGAGGATCGCTTGAGCCTGGGAGGTCGAGGCTGCAGTGAACTGTGATCATTCTTGAGTGACAGAGTGAGATCCTGTCTCAAAAAAAAAACAAAAAACAAAAAAAAAAACCAATCAGAAGTCTTGTATTGTGACCTTTTCTCTGTTAACTAGTTGAATGGACAAACTTACCTCTGAGCCTCAGTTTCAAGATTGGCCTGGATACTTATCAAAGTCTCTTGCCACTGTTAATGCCTCTCAGCATAATTCTTGATGATTCTTTTGTGTTTGAGGAGGATTAAACTGTTTTTGTGGATCCTCAATTTGGCTTTACTTTCCTTTTTTTCCCTTAATTGTTGCTTTTATGGATTCCCATTATCCATATAGGAGGTAGGAAGTTAAATGTGATTATTTATAATAAGATGCACAATTTGTATGAGACCTTTTACAAAAGTAAACATTTGTAAAATGTCTTATAGTTCCCACATTAACAGGCTTGCAGGATTTACATATATTCCACATATACTTTTACATACATCAGCTCATGTGATTCTTCCTGCCTACCCTGTGATGTGGAGGTAGACAAATAGTAGTATTCCCATTTTACACCTGAGGTAATTACACCTTAGTGAAGCTTGATGTCTCCAGGCCCTGGAACTAATAAGTGACTGAAGGAGAACTGGATAACAGACATTTGGACTCTAAACCTTTATATTCTTTCTTGTTATGTTTAGGACTTTCAGATGATGACTTGATACATATCTCATGTTAGAGAGTTTTCACTAAAAATAGTAAACTTAAAAAAAATTTATTTTACATTTTCATCATAGCCATCAGACTGGATGCTTTTCTTTTTTAAATGGGAAAAATTTGGGAGCGATTGATAGGAAAGGATGAAGGCAGACTATCCCAAATGTTTCTGCATAGTTGGCCATACTTAATATGCTCCAGGAGAAATGGAGGAGAATGCAGGTCAGGAGACCTGACTTTATCTAGTGAACCTGGACCAGCACTGTCCAATAGAGCTGTCTGCAGTGTGGAAACATTCAGGGCCTGCACCACCCATTATGGTAACCACTAGCCACATGTGGTTATTGAACATTTGAAATGTGGCTAATGGACTGAACAATTGATTTTTTTTTTTTTTTTTTTGAGACGGAGTCTCACTCTGTCACCCAGGCTGGAGTGCAATGGTGCGATCTCGGCTAACTGCAACCTCCGCCTCCCAGGTTCAAACGATTCTCCTGCCTCAGCCTCCTGAGTAGCT